TATTTTTTCCTCCACAATTTGTGGTGCCCCTTACACCCCCAGAAACCTTAGAATTTGCCTGTACTGCCTACTGCCACGGGCCGGCCCTGATGACACTAAGCTACTGCCACAATAGATTTCAGCTCATTATCTATAAAACTGGTTGATTTATAACCTTTTTAGTGTTTGCTGATGTCGCTTATCTGCAACCATTTTACTGCAAGTTAATCAGTTGTGGACGTGAGGCTGATTCCTTTCATGTTTTGTTGAAATCAGCTCAGTGGTTGAAAAGATATTTTGCTAATACTACAGACAAACATTATCACCCTCTTGCCTTTGGCAGGAGCAATAATTAAAATATGATAAACTGTATGAAAAGAAGGATTAAAGGCTACAGAACAAATTTTTCCCAAGGCTTGGATGTAATTTGCTCGCCAAATGAAAAAAAAAATAGACGTTTTGTTGTTTGCTTTTTGTTGAGGTTTTTCAAATATGTTCTTCACAAAAACAGATGGAAAAGCAAAATGTAAACTTTTTTTTCATTTATTTTTAAGGACTGCTTTGTATGCCTTACTGAGACTAAACTGAAAAAAAAATCATGAATGTTTAAATATGAATTCTAATTAAATTAGTTACCTGTCACTTTTATTTTCTTTTTAGAAATGTTTGACAGAACTGAAAACATTACATCTTTGTTCCACAGGAGAACAGACAGGCGTATTTGTAATGTTCAGCTTGTGATAGCCACAAATAGCACACAGTTAATTTATTGAAAACCAGATATAGTTAAAAGTGACGATTTTTTTTTACTTTGTTTTGGAGTAACAGAATATAAGGACCACGCAGCCTCTGTGAAAAACAAAGCAGCTCTAACGCTGAGCTCATGACTGACGCAGCTTTCATTCCTGGCTGGACTGAAGAGGCAGAACATCAGGATCCCACATGCACTGGAAAGTCCAGACAAATATGCAAGGATCTTTATTTTGCTGTCTGGATCCTGGCTCAGAGTTTCTGAGCACCTCTGTTCCCTAGTTTGTTTAAGTTTTAGTCTCATTTTGTAGCTGACTGTCAACGCATGAAGTTTTAGCTCAATGCCTGAAAAATTGACCACTGCAAAAACTGTCCATCTTACCAAGTTTTAAAATCTTATATCCAGCCAAAAAGTCTTTTTGATCTTGTTTTGAGACTGATTTACTAAACAAGAACTGATTGTGTAAGAATAATAATCTTGTTTTTGGAATATGTAAGATTACTTGTCTTGTTAATCTGAAAATTTGACTCAAAGTAAGTCAAATATTTCTGCAAATGGAGTAAGAAAACTTTACTTGGTAAGATTCTTGAAATACTTCATTTGACTGAATTTTTTCTTATTTCAAGAATCTTACCAAGTAAAATTTTTTTACACCATTGGCAGAAATATTTGACTTAATTTGAGTCAAATTTTCAGACTAACAAGACAAATAATCTTCCACATTCTGAAAACAAGATGATTATTCTTACACAATCAGTTCTTGTTTAGTAAATCAGTCTCAAAACAAGATCAAAAAGACTTTTTGGCTGGATAAAACTTGGTYAGGTGGACATTTTTTGCAGTGACTGAGCTAAAGCTGTGACTCATTTTGATTTACTCAGGCAGCCATCTTGAACTGGACTGACTCCTTTGATCACTTTCTGAACGTTTCTTTCAAATCATTTTAGTGGTTCACGAGATGTTTTTCCTGCCTGACAAAAGAATGAAATACTGTCTTTTTTAAAATAAATTTCCTTGAGTAATAACAGCTAAATCACTCTGATCCCAACAAAAACATGTAGCAACATATTTCACACGAATAAAATGCTAAATAAATAATAAAACACCTGAACAATTGTGTTAAATTGTTTTACAGTTACATGTATAAATGCACACGTTTCTATTGAGTGAGTTTGCTCACAGAGGCTGTTACAGCATTAAGGTAGTTAATTGGATTGAAAGATGTGTCTCAGTAATGCGTTTCTCTTCTGCTAACCAAAACCAGGAAGTCCTGTTGGCTCAGTTTCCAAAATGAATGATGCTAATTGATCATAAAAGCCTCTTGGTACACAGAAGAGGTTACTCAGCTGAATGACTCACTGGAGCTGTTTGTGTCAAGCACTGAAAACAATGTTGTACACAATCTTATGCAATATTGTGAGACGTAACAGAGTATGTGTTGTTACTCTCAGCTACCACCACATACGAGTTATAACCATTTTAGTGTTTTTTGAAGAGGACATATCATTCAAAATCCATATTTTTAGCTGTTAAATGCATTTTGTTGTAAACTACTACTGAGCCCACCAGGGGACATGGGGGATTTTTTTTTCTTTTTGTGTTCCCATGCAAAAGTATTGCGTTATCTCGCAATATCTTTTGCGTTCCCTCGCAAAAGTCGTTTATCACTGTTGTGCCTGCCGGTTTATTAACAAACTCACMTGTTCACCATTAGCGAGTTAGCCTACTGCTTTAATTCAGCTTCAGAATGGATATATCACACAGCCACGCATGGAAGTATGTCATATGCTGATATTTTAACACAGTGCAGCCACGCAACATCAATATCAACTTCACGAACTTGTGGCGACACATCCTGTTTTGGAAACTGGATATTTCAAAATAAAAGTCTGTTTTAATGCAGTTCATATACAAATCAACCTTTTGCGTGGGAACGCAAAAGTATTGCGAGGTAACGCAAAAGTATTGCGAGGTAACGCAAAAGTATTGCGAGGTAATGCAAAAGAAAAAAATCCCCCCATGTCCCCTCACGGGCTCCGTAGTAAACTTGGAGTCTCTAGGAGGCAGAAATGTTTAATTTAGTTTCTCCTGGTGCTGCAAAGACATCTTCTGTTTGGGTCACATTTTTCAGCCCGCTCAGTTTTCTCAAAATTTTATGATGTTTTCTGAACTATTACATCGCAGAATTTGTTGCTGAATTGCCAAATAAAGTCTGAACCAACAAAATTCTTGTCTTCAGATCTCTGGCTCCAACATACAAGGCTGCATGGAAAAGTCTTTCCTTGTTCACATCTTTTAGTTGGTTTGTAAATAAAAAGTTTCTGCACAGCTATATAGTCGTAAACCCCTCTATCAAACTAGAATGAACCGCTCTGGAAGCTAGTGTTCGTTTAGATTTAAAGAGACAGCCTCAAAATGAGTTGATCTGAGACACACCTCAGAAAGGGGGCGGGGCTTGTGGAGTTACAATGAGGAATTCAGACCAAAGCATTGCAGTTTCACTTTATATAGACCCCGACTGAAGGATTTAAATGTGGAAAAGAAGGATTTAAAAGGCATCATATGTCTCCTTTAAGGTCACTCTTCTCCAAAATAACATTATTACCCTTTTGGTGACAAGCAAAAAATAAAAAGAAAGAAAGAAAAAATAAAATTTACATGCACATAATTTTAATTGCACACATGTAGAAACAATATTTGTTGCACTGAGAAGCACAGTGAGAAATTTACCGATGTTCCCTTAAGGGACCACACGCAGGAAATCAGTTGATGTGAAAGCGAAAACAACTTTCAGTCAAAATATGAGAAGCCATTATCTAAAATTCAAACTGAGAAGTGTACTTCTTCAAGTCCCGAGCAAGTCTGAGACAATTTGAAGAAAAAAAGAAAGGAAAAAAAAAGGCAAAGA